ATAATAAATAAATATTATCTTTCTTAAAATATCTCTATTAATTATATGTATTAAAACTACCTATTTATAAAAACTTCTTAACATCTATAATCATTACAGAAATGACTCAGGAGGCAAAATGAATAAATATTGAAAATAAAATGAATTGAGATTTTATATCTGGAACTAAACTAAATATCCAACTAACTCTTATATTAAGAAACAATAGTGATATAAAGAGATTTTACATAACCAAACTTTACAATATAATAATGATAAGTACATCAAAATGTAACCAAACTACTATAGTAAAATGTTACCTCCAATTTTAATGTAAGATATAGTTTGTAATTCAAAAATATAGTAAAAAGCAATACTTTACCTTACTTGATAATGATATGCAGTCAAATGACCCTATATTATACACAACAAGCTAGGGATTGACCCTCAAGCGAGTCTGTGCCTCCTTGTATATGCACTTTTTATTTTAAATTTCGAACCTATTAATATATTCTTCTATATTTCATAAACAAAATGCTAGCTTATGGAATTGAAGAACATGGGATTTTTCTGTAGTTTATACATGAATTTAGGTATTTCTACCCTTTACATCTTTTTTTTTTTGGGCAGTATTTCTACCCTCTACATAATATTGGAGTGAAGGAATGAAAATATATGCGATTTTAAATTGAAACTTCTAGGTCCCTTTGCATTATTTCTGCTCTCCCTCTCTCTAACCGGATGATAGATTAAAACTTGGCTGCATTAGAAAGCCGAAATTTTTAGCTTTTGCAGCTGCATTGTGGAGAGAGAAAAAAATGAAAATAAAAAAAAGATAAAAATATTTAATTGGGTCCTATTTTAATCTAATAATTTGATTTTTTTTCCAGCAATAATTTAATTTAATTACTTTTCATTTATTATGTTTTTAAATTTATCAAATTATAAACATGTGATGTCCTGTCTCACTCCTTAATATAAGACTTAATAAACTAATTTTAGATGATTATAAAAGCTAAATAAATTATTTGATTATATCATATATTCAACGATCTTTCTAAAATATTTATACATATCACTTGATTATAAATAAATTTATAAGTCAGATAAATTAGTTCGGAGAAAATCACACCCAATTTAGTTATTTTACATCTAAAGTTATTTTTTTATTACTTATCTAAACAAGTTTCAATATATAAAACTGGTTTTTATAAAAATCAATTTAAACATAAATTATATTATACTAACTAACTTTTACAAAAATAAGATAAAATAAAAATCAATTTTATCACTATTAGTGCAAGCACACTTTAAAAGATTATCCAAATCAGAGCATAAAACGTTCTCGATTTTTGTCCCGGTCTAAGTCTTCTCTTGGGTTCCCTTTTTCTTTTTCAAGACGCAGTCAGATATTTTTCTGATATAAAATACATTTTCCGTTTTAAAGTCATAAATGTCCTTTGAATTTGAGGTTTTTTTTTTTGGCCTTGCTTTGAATTTCAGTTTGAATCATTGCAAAGATTGAACTTATTGAATTTAAGTCTAAAGCATGTCTAAAGATCCGAATCTTTGTCTATTAGAAAAGTAAAAGATAACTTTCATATTTATTTCCTATAAAAAATGTATTTTTTTCAGAACAGGTTATACTAACATGTTTTGACTGGCGCGAGCTAGTCTAACCCATTTATTAAATAGATAAAAACCCAACTTATTTTAATCTATACTGGGTGGTTGATAGCAGTCTTTCAAGTTAAATTGTTTCGCTCATCCCTCAACCCTAATACTATATATCTGCATATCCATGTCAAATTGTATGCGCACCACAATATGAACACCTCTAATATCTTGGTATAATTTATTATCTACATGCTACTATCTCCGTTCTTAATTATAAGATCTTGTTTGTTGACTACAATCATTATTATCTATATGAACATGCGGCGTGCATTGAGTCATGAGCTTGTCTATATTATATTATTTTTTATTTTCTGTAGTCTCTTCTGATCTGTATTTGAATTTCTTACCTATTGTTTTGTTCAAATTTATATACGATTTAATAGGAAATTCAATTACCTCGGAAAGATTTTTTTTTTTGCTATCACTTTTATTTTCCTATTAGAAATAACCTTGTTTAAAATACTGTCAAAGAAAGTTAGCAGCATTAAACTCAAAATTCAAAGTCTTATAAAACTACAGGGACCAACTTTTAGGATGACAGGAAGTACTTCTTTGGTCCTATTTATAGGGCAGAGATAGAAGACTTTTTTTTTATCTTATTTATAAGACATTGAGGGAAATTTTTTGTATGAATATATAATTTTACCCCTCATTTATTATTATGTTGATTTTGTTTACATAAGGTATAATGTATATTAAATAGAGATATAGTTGAAAAGTTATTAAATTTTAAATGCGAGTTAATGAAGTTTAAGATTTTTCTTAATCTGTATGAAACATACTAAAAATGCCTTATAAATAGGACCAGAGGAGTATAGTGATGGAAAAAAAAAGGAAATAAAGATCAAAACTACTCATTACAAGCATAAGTACATGGAATGGGTTCAACTCCATAAAGTTATCAAGTTGATACACCATGTAGATAAGATTGTGAATACTTTATAATTAATACTATCCTAAACATAATTAACCTAAATTTTATTCTATAACAAAAAAGGCAAGAAGGAAGGAATGAATACTTAGTTGGTTAGTGAAGGAATATGGAGAGGTATGATTGATTACTTTTAGAGGAAGTGGAGAATGTGGAAGTTGGTCAGAGCAATAAGCGCCAAAACTATAGTGAGCGTGGAACCAACTGTCCCTCATTTTTGTGCCACCATTATGACCAACACACATCTCACTTGCAATCATTATTATCAATCCATAATTGGCTATCTCCTCTTAGACTATAGGATCTAATGGAAGTTGTGTGCATGTACCTACCAATCATGGCTTTTTGTTTTTTGTTTTTATATATTTAATAATCATCAATCCTCCATTCTTGCTGCTTGTCCCTTCATTCTTGCTACATCATTAGACTCTCCGATCTCTTACTTATTGTCCCCCCACCGCCCCCCCTCCATTTGCACTTCCTTTCAAAATGCATTTCATTTGTTGCCTATATTTCCTTTTGACTAATGATTTCCTTTCTTCTTTCCCTTTCATATTTTTAATATGATTTCTCGTTATATTGAATTAAGATTTTTTATGGCTTTTTAGAGTAACTATTACCCCGAATCCTTAACATAAAACCCGATTAACTTATTTGAGAAAATTAATGAAGGTAAATAGATTATTTAATTATATATAGTACATGTTACATTACCTCTATAAAATACTTATATATATTGCTCATCCAGTTTTAATATAGGACCTAATTGTTAAGTTAATTTTGATCCTAAATATAAGACCTATTTCTCATATTTATTAATTTTTCTTAAATTACTCCTATGGATACTCCCTCAACTATAATTAAATAAGTGGGGGAGGGAGGATATTAAGAAAGATGATTATGATGTTTTAGGAAAAACATGTCATATTTCTTATAATTAATTAACTTACTAACTTCTTTAATCTAATCAAATTAATTAAATATGTCTTATATTAAGAAATGAAGGAGTATTATATTATATACTAGTTCATAAGTTATTTGTAAGTCAGGAAAATTAGTTTGAAAAAAAATAAATATAAATATTTAAAATAATTTATTTAGCTTTTTTAATATTTCTAAATTACTCAATTAGATCTTATATTAAGAGGGTAGTATACATATATATGGTGTGATTTTAAGATGTAAAGAAACAACGTTATGAACGTTAAAAGAAAAAAAGGAAAAATGACCCTATACATGATGATTTACGTTTACATTACTATATTCTTAATGTATGAATCATCCTGTTTGGGTCAGCGACTGTCAGCCCAGAAGTAGCTTATTTTCATCATAAGTCCGTTTGGAAAATTAGAGTCTGTTTGGGAGAGCTTATGGGCCATTGTATATGGAGACTAAAAGCTGGATTAAAACACACTTAACATTAAGCTGATCTAAGATAGCTTTTTCAAGTGAAAATCATGCTTATGTTGGTGGATTGTTGGAATTGTCAGATTATTATTTTTCTCTCACTCCTCCCTCATTATTCTCTCATAAAACTCAAACTCATTTGGGTAATTTACAAACTAAACTTGCTAACTTAAATTCATTGTATTATGTAAATTCATTTCTTTATTATTTTTCATTTTATCTAATAAAACTCATACCCATTTTGGTAATTATACAAACTAAACTTGCTTTTATTCAATTATAATCCAAACAAATTTTTACCTAATCCAACTTTTACAAACTAACTTTTATAAAATCTAATCCAAACTCAATTTACATCATCTAATTTAACTTTTATCCAATCTAACCTTTTTAAAAATCTAATTGATAGTAAGCTATCTTTTTAATCGTTAATCTAAACGAACCCAGTGTCTGTATACGAGGGACCTCACGTTATCTCCCCCCACGCCATTCCGTTCGTAAATGAATGCTATTTGGTTAGGAGTGCCTTGTCATTTTCGTGATCCTATTTGGTTTGGCTTACATTAACTAGAATCTAATGTGATTTTTAAATATCCAATAATTTGATTATAAAAAATATTTATATAATATTAAGACAAAAACTCAATTTTAATACTCTTCATTATAATAACTTTAGAATTACTTGATCTCAACTATTTTAAATTGATCACTAATAATACTCCTTCCATCCCCTAGTGTAAGATCCAAATAACTAGATAGAGAAGTGTTAAAATTAGTTTAAAATAATAAATGTGTAAGAAATACACTTTTTTTAATATGCCATTATTTATAAGTGGGTAAGGCAGATCATGAGAGTGAGGAAAAAGATAAGAGAAAATACATGTGGAAAAAATAATGAGTGTATTAATCAAAGGTAAAATGAGTAAAAATACATTTGGACAAATCCACATTATTATAAAGATATTAAGAAGAATCAAGCATGCCTCTCTCTCATGACACAAAGGAATTTTACAAATTAAATATTTTATTTGAATATGTTCATATCCTTTGTCTATTTACAGACAATGAGGCTATCTGTAAATAATATAGCACTTCCATATAGAAGACCCCGTCCATAAGCACCCATTAAACAAAGGAACACCTATAAACACCAAAGGATCGCATAAAGATGCCTGCACTCGTTAGCAACTGGATCAGCAACTTCTAGTTTATCGCAGCTGAGGAGGCCGCAGAGCTGATAAGTCAATATTAGATCCTCAGCTGTTGTACATTAGCATATATTCAAGAAGAGAAAGACACATGATAACAGGACCGTTTATGAAACTTGCTTCTCTTTACATTTTTCCCCATCCATCTCTCTAACTGTATAATATGAATCAATTTGTGACTGCTGATGATCTGGGCTTGTCGTTAAACTAGTTCAAGTGTCGCTGCCTCGTGCGAAGGCCCGAAAGAGAATCACTTTCAATTGAACTAGAATTTACCTTGAGCAAAACCCGTGATGGAATCAAAATTCAAATGTAAATGAACCGTCAATAATCATAAAGGAGGGATTTCACAAATAATAAGATAAAAGACAAGAAACACTCTAAGATATGTTTGCTAATTTCATTTCATAAATATATCACATACAAATATGTCTAATTAAATGAATTAAAAAAGTTTCTCTGCACATTATTTTGACAACTCGTTAGCAGACTCATAAGGTTCACTTAATTTTGTCCTAAGCTAAAATACTAAACTAGTCCCATGATTCCAAAAACTACTACATATCATAAGTTGAGGATAGTGCATTCATCCAAACCATCTATGTTAATGTCAAGTGATATTTAAGGTGTCATTTTGGTCCACACCTGCATGCGATAACATCAAACAAATAAGCTATTGTGCGACTATAAATCTGCTGAGTACTAAAATCAGAAACCAAACCCGAAATACCAGTATAATGTGCATACAAAGTTTCTAGAAGGGACCTTATGGGATCGGCAAGTATTCAGTCCTAGGCAAGGGAGTATTCTCATTAGGAAATGCAACCAATTTCCACCTTTTTTTAAAGGTTCTTCTTTGGCTGTCAATGGACATCAGAGAAAATAATTAGTTAATGCAATCATGTTCAACAGTGATCTTTGGGTCTATTGACTCCTCTACTTCAAGAATGGAAAATGAAGCAAATGCATGGTAACTTGCATATGCCACGATACATGCCTCCCCATTCATCATAAGCAAAAATTATCAACTAAGGAATAACAAGGGACCTATTGTTACCAGAATAATAAGATCATAGATGATTCAACGAACATTTCTTACATTGAAGCATGCAGCGTAAGAGATGTTGTTCCAATCAGACATCCATGTAATGGACAGCTTTCAGATTCATAAAACATACAAGCTTATGGGCATAGAAACTCACAAGCTAAGTTGTTTGTCATTCTTTTTTTCCCTGATACCGCAGCATCAATTGTTTGTCATTCTCTACAGGGGTGCTCATAATTTTCACTTTGTCAAATCCTCTGGGCAACAGATGCCTAGCTTCCAAGTCATCACATAATATTGATGCAATTTTATTTTTTCCACACTTGCAAAGTCCACAGCAGAGCTCAGACAAAATACTAGAATCAGGAGTCATGCATCTCCCCATCACGTCTCTCATGACTTGGATGGCTCCATCAAAGTCTTCATTTTCGCAGAAGGTAGATATCAACATTTCGAAAGTGTGCTCATTTGGATGGCAATTACTCCTTATCATACTTTTATAAAGTTGAAAGGCACGCTCAGAGTTCTTTTTCATACACTGGCCAGTAATAAGAGCAGAAAAGGTAGAAGCATTTGGGACCAGGTTCTCCTTCTCAAGGTCCTTGACTAGATATGCAGCTTTCTTTGTCATACCTTCCTTGCATAATCCCCAAATCAAAGCATTATAAGTCAAAATATCAGGTTTAACCTGATTTCTTGACATTTCCTCATAAAGTTGACTGCTCAGCTCAATGTCACCAATTTGACTATATCCCTTTATCAAAGTATTATAGGTTACAATAGTAGGAGATACATTATTGGCCTTCATCTCAGTGAAGATTTTATTTGCTTCATGTAGTTTACCCTCCTTACAAAATCCATTGATAAGTGTGTTAAATGTGACCACTCCAGGCTGGACCCCATTCTTCTCCATCAAGCATTTAATCTTCATGGCCAAAACTAGAAGACCCTTGTTACAGTATCCTGAAATCAGTACATTATATGAAGCAATATTTGGACTTAAACCCCTGCTCTCCATCGTCTCTAACATTTCAACAGCCTCCTGTAGCTTTCCCAATTTACAATAGGCACACATGACCATATTGACTGTATAAACATTTGGTGAAATGCGATTACGAAGCATTGCATTATAGAAGGACAAAACTATATCTGCTCTATGCAATTTAAGCAAAGAGCTTAAATATGCATTGCATGACTCAACAGTAGGTAAAAACCCATACTCCTTCATCCGGCAAAAAGTGTCAGTTGCATTTCTGCACTTCTTCATATGAGCAAAAGTCTTGAAAAGAGAGTCAAAAGCCCTAGGTGAAGAATCACATATACGGTAGGAATACAGTAATGCTTCAAATAGTTTAGAAGGCAAATCTAAGACATTTGAAGCAAGAATATTGCGCAAAATGGATTCAGCAGATTTAAACTTGTGATTTTTGGTGAGAATATGGACAAGTATGGAATAGGTTTCAAGGGTAAGCGAGTCAGACTTATGACTTTTAACCCAATTGAAAAACTCAAGTGAGAGTACATGGTCTCTTTGAATTTTTAGCAGAACATGCTTAACCCTGAAACCTGTTAGACCAGATGATAATAAGTTTAGTTTGGCCCAGTCTGAGTTAATTAGGTGGCTGTGAGCTACATTTACAAAATCAAGATCCTGTCCTTTGGGTTCAGGTATTGTTCGATGAGGGATAGGGAATGGGCTTGAAACTCTTATATTCGGTTTGTGAGGAATTGAAGATTCAATGGAAATGCGATTGCCAGCTGATGGATCAATTAAAGCTGAAAATTGACGAAATGAAATCTTTTTCATTGCTTTCTAGATTGTGTAAACAAATGATCTATTTCCCCAACGGACGATAAAAGAGATTTGTTCTAACAAAATCAATGTTGTTCACGAAAATTTTCCTCCAGTGTAGCAAATAGAGGAAGGGAAGATAAAGTTCAGATAAATTGATGTGCTCAAGCATTCTCCAGGAGAAAAAGTGACACACATTAGTCGATTACCAAAGAATGGTTCCCAACGCGCTTCCTCTGAAACAGAACTTATTACGAAGAAAGTCCTCAGCAGCGTGGAATTGAAAAAGAAAAGGTCCTCTGCAACTTGTGTAAAGAATCTAACTCAATCTGGAATCAATTTTTGGTGGTGCGGTATATAGAGGCATTGCATAGACCTTCATGGATACTAATTTTCTCGTTGAAGAAAGGTAGAGCCCTAACATTAAACAAATTATATTCAATTGACATCAAAACACAGCAAATAAGATTCAGCAGGCTATGATGGACGAACATTGAAAGAATAGCACGGCAAACAAAGCAGCAACAAATGACTCAGTTTTCGAAAACCAAATAAAAGGAACAGATAAATTCGAGTTTTTGAAAATGAGGACAGGATCACCGGCTAGTTCTGGGTTGGACATTTCAAAATTCAGAAGAGAGAAACACGAAAAAGCTAGGCACCTGATCACCAGAAGAGAGAAGTAAGATGCCAAAACTTGAACACTGGAGCTGCTCGACTTCCGCCGCAGGAGGCTAAGGCCAAAATTCTTCCAGCTGCTACGGGGCGGCGCCGTCGAAGGAGTGTGACGTCAGCGCCAAGGCCCAAGGGTTTAAGCATCGGCATTTGACGTCCACTCGCGTTCACGGCTCATTAATTAAAAACGGAAAATTTCTGAAAGTTCACTTTTGTATAAATCCTCTTTTAATGTTTACATTATAATACAAACTATTTTTACACGAATTTTTTGGAAAACCTATTATAAATATCCAAATTAAGAAAATTATTAGTATCAATTTCTTTACCTGAAACTTTGCTTTATTTTTTTCCTGGTAAAAACAATTGTATTGACTATTGATAGATGCTCATGGTTTGCATGACTCTGATTTAAATCCTAATAAATAGATGAATAAAAATTGTTGAGTAAAAATAAAGTGGAAAAATGACTTTTTAATTCTCCTATTTTAATTTTTACCAATCTCAATATTGGTCCATGAATTTTTCTTTTCCTATCATAGTTTCACTTCATTTGGTTTAAGAGTTAATTTTACATGGAGTTGAAAATTAGATCAACCGATGTTGAGGTAAAAGTAGAGCCAATAATATAGGTATTGTATTATTAACCCATTTAACCTCTCCCAAAAAAAAGAGTTGAATTAGTAAAATTGTACTAGTGATTGTAATCTACTTAGCCTAATCTGTTTTAAAATTTTAAGTCTTTTGATTATCATTCCAAATTTAACCACAAACTTCTTCTTCTTTTTCCCCTCAATTTTTTTTGGTTGCCCACCCAGTTCACCGGAGTTTTACTCCGATTACATCTGGATCCGACCCGCGTCGCACACTTAGCTGTGGTGGGTGAGTCTCCCAATAAGAATTTCTGCATATGCTGAGGCTCAAACTCGAGACCTCACTTAAACGGTACCAAGTAGCTTACTACTTGGACCAACCCCTGTTGGTTTTTCTTCTAACATGAATAAAATTTGTCTTTGGATGCAGCCCACTATCATGACCCAACCGGCTTTGAGTTACGCACAAATTTGATAGGCTTAGGTTTGGGGGCCCAAAAAATCTTCTCCTCTCATCTTAAATGTTAAAAATAATTAGGAATTTAATTTTAATCTTAAATGTAAGATTTAATTGGTTTTATCTTTTATATTTACTGAATTTTTTTAAACTAATTTATCTAACTTATAAAGTGATATATAATATGATATGACACACAGTGCTATTTTAAGAAGGTTATGTTAATTTTTTAGAATTAAATAATTTATTTAGCTTATTTAAATGATCTAGATTAATTAAGTAAATCTCATACTACCTTTGGTCTTTAATATTAAACCTCGTTGGAATTTTATTTTGGCTCTAATTATAAGACTTCCATCCACTTTATCTCTCATAGTTATGTATTTTTCCAAGATAGTCCCTCTAGTAATGGTAGTTTTAGCTAATAAACTTAATTAGCACGATATGCTAGAAAAGACAACACCTATTTATTACTAATAACTAACTTAACTTATTTTCTTAATCTTCTGAAATTAGTTAACCAGTTTTTATAATTACGACCGGAGGTAATATTATGGATATGAGAAATAGTTAATTACACTAATAAGAATGAATGTAGACTTGTCAATGAAAATATGCTCTATGCTGCATGCCGGACCATATAACTCCGTACCTTAGCGCCGCCACCAAATTGTAGTGTCATTCTTTTTTTTTTTTTTTGGGGACTGAAATGTTAGTGTCCTTCTAATTAACCTCAAAATCTAGATAATCATTAAAATAATTGCCCACATAATTAAATTGAACAACCAACACGACGCGTATAGATAATATATACACCAAAAGTATGGTTCAATGGTCAATAATATATATGTATATATGTCTCTTGTTCATACTGCTCACCTTCTGGACCCTCATTACTATTAATTAAAGGCAGGTGAAACTAACAGCAATATATATATAGACACGCTTTTGAAAGGAGCATGTTAAGTATTAACGGGAAAAAACCTTTTCGCAATTATATTTTATATATGTTTCCTAATACCTAATCGCAATTGGCTGAAAAAAAAAAATATAAAAGCAAGACTTTCCATGGAAAGTGTGAACGCTTACTTCGATCGTGGATCACTTTGAAGATTCAAACAGGGGGAAATTAATGACTGAAGTAAGACTAATTCCACAACTAATCTGCAATATACTAATACTCATCAGGTACTCATCTCTTGACCTGAATTGCAAGTTTTGGACCTTTGGTTTACCTCTCGGCGACCTTGAGGTCAATACAAAAAAACTAAAATAAACCTCACCACTTACTACGTGTATTTAAGCTCACTTGTATTTTGTGATACCTTTTAAATAATAAAGGAAAACGTACTCCTTCTAATTGTCATACATATATATGTAGTTCATATATATTAATTAGCTAACTCTAAAACCTAAATAAATTTGGAATGTTACACAACACTTATTTATTACAAATAACTAACTTAGCTTATTTTTTTAACCTCCTCAAATTAGTTAATTAACTCTTATAATTAGGACATGAGGTACGTAGTAATAACTAATCACAATTGGCTGAAAAAAGAAACATAAAAGCAAGACTTTCCATGGAAAGTGTGAACGCTTACTTGGATCACTTCGAAGATTCAAACGAGGGGGGAAATTAATTATTGAAGTAAGACTAATTCCACAACTAATCTGCAATATACTGTTGCCCATTAAGTACTCATCTCTTGACTTAAATTGCAAGTTTTGGACCTTGAGGTCAACATAAAAAATACAATAACTCTCACCACTTCGTGCGTGTATTTAAGCTCGCTTATACTCAGTTATACCCAGAATCATCAACCAGATCAGAATTTAAGGTTCTCTCTCTGCACAACATCTGAAATATTATATTATACTGTGTTCCATCTGATTGTTTCAAAATTTGAACATGCCGGTGAGTTTACTCTAAACTGATTTTTGATCCCACACACTGGCTAATTTTAGTTGTGGAGCTGTGTAACGATTGAAGTATATATGTGTTTTGTGATTTTGGTTCAGAAAAAGATAATCATAAAGGTGGAAGTCCGCAATGAAAAATGCAGAAGCAAGGCCATGAAAATTGCAGCAGTGAGACCAGGTAACTTTGAATAATGCAACATTTAATTTTCCTCTTCTTCCCATTCTGAATTTCTTTAAAAAAAAACGTTTCTGGCTCTGAAAAACAGGGATTCTAATAATGATAATATAAATTGATCCGGCAGGAGCAATAATTAAAAGATACTACTTCCGGTCCTAATTATAAGATCTCATTTATAGTTTGCAAATGAAATCCTATAAATAGGACCGGAGGTAGTATATATATAATTGGATTCACTAGAGTTTTAAGTTCATTTTCAATTTTCAATATATATATATCATTATGACTTTCACTCACATCTGACATCCCAACAATAATATATCGTGTTTCAGGAGTGATGTCGGTGTCAATAGAAGGAGAAGGAAGAGACCAATTGGTGGTAACGGGTGATGGAGTTGACTCGGTTGAGTTGACGAACGTGCTAAGGAAGAAGCTAGGGCATGCTACAATTGTGAGCGTGCAAGATGAGAAACCAGAAGAGGAGAAAGAAGAAGAAGTGAAGCCAATTGAATACGTGGGATCTTATAGTTCCTACTATCCTCCTCCGCCTCCTTACTATCAAAGAGTCGTTTATGATCCTTACCCTAGCAACGGCTTTATTTGGTATTGATTATATGACTCCCAAGAAAATCAAAGGCTTGGTTAACAGCTTCAAGAGAAAGAATAAAAGAAAAAAAATCAAACATCTTCATGAAGAATCTCAATTATTCAAGATGAAGTATTTTTGTATACGTACCATCATTTAGCTTATATATATGCAAAAGTAACTTGTTATAAATTAAAGTAAAACTATGGTTCTGGCAATACTATAGTTAATCAAGCGTTGAGTATATGATTTATGAAAAAAAAAAATATTGGATCCGTGTTTAATTTTTCATATTAACATTTTCGACTTAAAATTTCAAACTGCGCAATTCCTTTAGTAATTTAGTGCAACATGACTAATTAAATAGTATTGAATCTCGAAAGTCTCCATGTAAAGGTTATTAATCCAAAGTGATAACGATATATTTAAATATAATATAGGATAATATATCGAAGGTGGCAATGGGATCTAAATATGCCTTTGGAAGAAAGCTAAACAATTGATGTATGCCCTTTTTTTTTGGTGAAAAATAAAGAGTCACGGTGTATAGGCACAAATTTATTTGCTTAAAGAAATCGAAGCAAGGAAACAAGAAGTACTTAATTAGTTATACTCCTCTGGTCTTAAATATAAGACTCCTTTTATAATATAATTTTTACTGCAAA